AGGACCGGTTCGTCGTGACAATCCTGAAATAGATGAATTTTCCTTCAAGTCGGGTGTGACGATAACTTGGACAAGGCGTACGGCTATATTTCAAGGATTGTTCATTTGAGAAGTTAGGTTGGCTTTTTAATTTTTTTGACTATTTTAGCCTCCGTTTAGAAAGTGGGTTGGCTTTTTAATTTTTTGACTTTTTGACTATTTTAGCTTGGGGCTAAAAAGCTTAGTTTGGGAAGAATTTTTTAGCTTTTTTGAATTTTTTTGTGAGAGAGGGGTGTAATGATTATGGGTTAGATTTAGGGCTAGTTTGGCATGTACTAAATAAGTCAAAAAGTCAAAAAGTCACTATCTTATTTAAGTCACATCATCTTATTTAAATCACATCACTTCTCTAACACATCACATCAAACCCAACCCAAACCCAACCCAAACCCACCAATAAGTCAAAAAGTGCACTTTTTTAGGACATTCCAAACCAACCCTTAATGTTTTGTTTTTTGTGGCTAAAATAGCCTATTTTATTTTTTGTGGCTATTTTAACCCCTAACCCACCAAAACCAACTTCCCAAACTATGCCTTAGTTTGAATTAAAAAATTTGTTTGAGTTGACTTTTTTTTATTTTTGTGAGAGAAAAAGTATAATGATTATAATTTAAATGTGATATTTTATTTTATTAACTTTTTAACTTATTTTGTCTTTTTGTGACTAATTTAACCAAAAAACCAAATTGGCCGAACTAAAATAAACAAAATTCAATAAATACACAAGAATATAAATATATATTAAATTTTGGATGAAGTACTAATAAATCTCAAAATGTGATCTTGTAAACTGTTTAGCTCTCATTTATTTATTTTTTATTTTTATTTTTTATGAATCCAAATGTTCTATTAAAGTGAAAATTATACAAAAAGATAGTCACTTACACGTTTGGATTTAATTTTTAAAGGATAAAAGTGAGTTTCTCCAAATGTAAAATTATACATTTGGACAACCGCACTATAGAAGTAGTTTTTTTGACTTTTTTTGTGAGAGAGGGGTGTAATGATTATGGGTTAGATTTAATGTTTTGTTTTTTGTGGCTAAAATAGCCTATTTTGTTTTTTGTGACTATTTTAACCCCTAACCCACCAAAACCAACTTCCCAAACTATGCCTTAGTTTGAATTAAAAAATTTGTTTGAGTTGACTTTTTTTATTTTTGTGAGAGAAAAAGTATAATGATTATAATTTAAAAGTGATATTTTGTTTTATTAACTTTTTAACTTATTTTGTCTTTTTGTGACTAATTTAACCAAAAAACCAAATTGGCCGAACTAAAATAAACAAAATTCAATAAATACACAAGAATATAAATATATATTAAATTTTGGATGAAGTACTAATAAATCTCAAAATGTGATCTTGTAAACTGTTTAGCTCTCATTTATTTTTTTTTTATGAATCCAAATGTTCTATTAAAGTGAAAATTATACAAAAAGATAGTCACTTACACGTTTGGATTTAATTTTTAAAGGATAAAAGTGAGTTTCTCCAAATGTAAAATTATATATTTGGACAACCGCACTATAGAAGTTTTGGATTTTTCCTCATTTTGAAATAAATTCCACATTATAAATAAGAACGTAACACTACAATAACATAACATTCCAATGTAACATATTAAAAAATTTCTTAGTGTATTTTTCTCAAACGTAACAACGGAACACTCTAAACTTTTCCCAAACATAATGCTCTAATGTAACACCAAAACAAAACAAAACAAAACAAAACAAAAAATCATTAGTGTACTTTTTCCAAACATAACACTTCAATCAATGTAATCTCAAACGTAACACTCCAATATAACACACATAAAAACACTACAAAATTACTTAATGTAATTTTTCCAAACATAACACTCACAGTTTGAAATTATACATTTATCCAAAATTTACTAAAAAATTTTTGTACTCTTTTTGGAATAGTTTGAAGAATCGCACACCCTTTTGCAATTGTTTGAAGAATCCCACATCTTTTTTTTTTTTTTTGAAATGTTACATTGGAGTATTACGTTTGAAAAAAATACACTAAAAAATTTTTTTGTGTATTACATTGAAGTGTTACACTAAGAAATTTTTTTAGAGTGTTACATAGAAGTGTTACAAGTTGAAATTCTAGATTTGCTTAAAACTTACTAAAAAATTTTTGTACTCCTTTTGAAATATTTAAAAAATCTCATATCCTTTCGGAATGTTTAAAGAATCTCATATTTCAAGTCATTTTTGTTCTCCTTTTAAAATGTTTGAAAAATTTTACATTTCAAGTCATTCCAAATAAAAAAGATTTGCATATAAAAATTCATCCTAAATTTGATTCTCATAGGGTTGCGTATCTTACCTTGCTAACACAAAAAAAATAATAATAAAAAAATAATAATAATAATAATAAAGTAGGTTATTTAGAGAGAGAGAGAGAAGGGGGTCGGTGATTGAGAGAGTGAGAGAGAGAGAGAGGATTTTGATTGAACAGACCCACATGGATCCAAATGTTTTGTAGAAGTATGTGTTTATGGATATAATAATTTAGAGTGTGAACTCTTAAATTCAAGAAATTTATAATTGTACTTATGGATCGAGTGTCCTAAAAAAAATATAAAAATTCACTAAATTTTTATTTATTTTATTAAAAATCATAAATATTATACTTTTTAAATATATCTAAGTTAGATACATCTAAAAAAATAAAAAAAAATATCTTCAAATATTAAAAGTTTTGACTAAAAATAAAAAATACAAATAATAATAAATAATAAATAAATAAATAAACTCAATTTTCTGAAAAATTGATTCAATTTTCTAAAACCAAATAACTCAATTTTCTGAAAAATTGATTCAATACAGAAAATTGATTCAATTTCTAAAACCAAATAAGGTGATTAGCTACTGCAAGCTAGGCTTCAAATATTAGTTCACTGTTTTATTATGCTAATGTTCCAACATTTCCTTCTTCATTTCAATTTATTGAATTCATACTATTGAATTAATTTTTTGAATACTTTTTTTTTTCTTTTTCATAATTTGCATACCATGCTAAATGGGAAATGGAGTTTAGTCGTATTTCATGCCAAGTATATACTGAAAGTAGGTCAAATTCATGAATTTGAAAAACAAATGTTTTAGAACATTATATTCTCAAAACATTCTATTAACTTTTTCAGCAGTTGTAGATACAAATAGCACATAATGCTAAAGGATCCTTTCCTTTGCACTAACATGGTGCGTACCTTTTCTTAAGGATCTAACAAACTAGTTCAATGTAAGCTCATATAACCTAAAATGTGATGATCCTGGATCCTAAAAATATTTTTTCCTTCCACCTTTTCGAACGAATGAATGACAGGTGTTGTTCGAAAGTTAAAAATCGAAGGCATTTAGGACCGGAGAAATGCAAAGGATATTGATGCAACCTTAACTATTAATCTTAGGTTAGTGCCACTTTGCCCTTACCATTTTGTAAAAGTTGCGATTTGCAATGTAAAACCTAATTGCTTGCACCAAAATGGATCGTGTGATCCTTCTCCATACACAGCACCTATATACCCAGGTCTGCCAAAGAAGAGCGAAAGAAAATAGAGGTTAAAGAAGAGAAATCCAAAGAAGAGAAGGAAAAGAAAAGCGAAGAAGAGAAGGGAAAGAATGTAGATGAGAGAAGCAATTTGTTGTTTTTTTTTTTCCCCTTCAAGTTAAAGTGTGGTGCGGAAAAATACACAGGATATTTCAATGTCATAGCTTACTGGGGAGCATTGCAACTGTTTTTAAAAAATTAAAGGTGTAAACTGCAACTTTTACAAAAATTTAGGGGCAAGTGTTAATTCTTGTATTGACTTCAAATTGCTAGGTTTTTGTGTCTTTCTTTTATCCCCCAAAATGTGTACCCTGTCTTTTTGTTATCTGACCTCTAACCCTCTTTGCTTGGTTGTTATATTGAGGAAGGAAACTACATCTGTACCCGAATCTAAGATTCACTCACCATCTCATAGAGTACAAACCATACAGAGTAGGATTGTTTGAAATTTAATAACAAACTATTCACAGCATTAAATTGATAACTTTTCTCTTTTCCTAATTGTTTCGCTCCCCTTCAAGTTAAAGTGTGGTGCGGAAAAATACACAGGATATTTCAATGTCATAGCTTACTGGGGAGCATTGCAACTGTTTTTAAAAAATTAAAGGTGTAAACTGCAACTTTTACAAAAATTTAGGGGCAAGTGTTAATTCTTGTATTGACTTCAAATTGCTAGGTTTTTGTGTCTTTCTTTTATCCCCCAAAATGTGTACCCTGTCTTTTTGTTATCTGACCTCTAACCCTCTTTGCTTGGTTGTTATATTGAGGAAGGAAACTACATCTGTACCCGAATCTAAGATTCACTCACCATCTCATAGAGTACAAACCATACAGAGTAGGATTGTTTGAAATTTAATAACAAACTATTCACAGCATTAAATTGATAACTTTTCTCTTTTCCTAATTGTTTCTCTTTTGGTGAAGGATCACTTTCCAAATATGTAAATTCAGCAACTACTATTAACTCGGAACATATTTAGCAACTACAAGTAACCAAACAATGCGGTATAACTCAAAAATAGTCATAAGTTAGTAAAATATATAGGTATACCAAGTATGGAACCAAAAAACAAAGAACAAGTACTAGCCAGAGTCCTATTGTTGATATTTACTAGATTTCACAAATTCATTGTTCTACTTCTAGTTTTTTTTTTTTTTTCAAAGTGAATTTAACTAAGTGGCATATTTTTTTTGATAAAAAACTTTTGTCAGTGACAGTTTATAAAAAAACATTAATAAGAAAAAGAATGAGAGAAGTTTCTTCAGCATCACTAGGAAATTCAAGTGGTAGTGTGCGAATATCACTAAGCATGATGATGATCATGATGATAGTTTAACAAAGCAGAAAAAATACATTCAACATTTACAGGCAAATATATATTTATATTATATATATGTATATGCAAACACAAGCATGTATACATGCCTTTTAACTTTATTTATAGAGAATTATCATTACATTAACAGTAAGCTCGGTTTTTCAAACATGTTTGTATTTTGAAGAATTACTAATAACTAGCATTTGCAGATATCCATCTCAAGGAATTCTAGCTGTCACAACATAACTAAAAAAATCAAGACTAGCTAATTTTGCTCTGTATGTCTACTAGAAGAATTCAAACTCATTCAATGATTTTCTATCTCACAAGTTTATGGATCCTCCTTACCTTTCAGCTGCTCCAGACCCTCTTGCATTAGCTTCAACCGTCATCCTTCAGAGAAAGGCGACGGTGTCCTGAAACACAGAAACCAAATGGTTATGGAAAAGGATGTATAAGTTAAAAACTGCATGTTCCGCCACTGTTTGCCTGTCCGAGCTGCTGAAATATCATTCTATCATGTCCTCAATGGAAGTCATTCCCATTCATCCAATCAAGTCTCTCTATGAGATCAAGACAATTATGAATACTCTTACACAAACTCCGCTTCTTGCCCACCCATCTGAGTCCCCTTTGCATTCTGATTTATCCTTTGGCACTGCTGATCTAAAGATGGACAAAGATGAAGTGCTTGTTGTGGATGCTTCATACCAGCTAAAGAAACATATTTGATGACACTAGTCGCAAGCAGGCCAGTAGATGCTGTTCTGAACTTGATCAATGCAATTAATCTTGATATTTCAACTATGGTATTGCTAATGGAGCTTACAATTCTCCGTTCTTCAACACACGATTCTGGAAAGCACTCTTCCATTTCTCAACATTGTTCAATATGTTCGACACGAATGTACCCCGTGAATATCAAGAGAGTTGGAACCCCAAAGGCCAGATACATACGAGAAGTGGCAAATCAGGAACCTCAAAGAGGGGCTCAGACAGCTTCCATTAGACCAGGAGATAATGAAGAAAGTGAAGACAAAGTTACAGTTGGGTAACCACGAAGATTTTGTGGTGTACGAGGACAGCCACTGATTTGCTACAGGGATTGAAGGGCCGAGCAATCTATGCTCTTTCCTGTTGGAAACCAGTGTGAGAAAAATCCAAACATTGGATCAAATGGGTATGCCTAGCGGCTAAATGCAGATATTTTTATGTTGATTTAACTTATGCATTTTAATATTTTTGTAGTATTAATTGGAGGTGCTTACATTTTGCTGAAACAAAGGTGTTGGACAATTCTCAACACATGTCAGACACTCTTCCAAACGTATCATATTATTTTTTAAATTGTTTTAGAACCAGACACCCTTCTACAACTTGTGTGACACAAATCGATTGCATATACACATAAAAACTAATTGTAAGTTTGGAAAAAATAACCTAGGAGACAAAAATAAAAACAAAAAAAAAATTAAAAATTAAAAATAAGAAGAAAAAAAAAACAATGTAGATCTAAGAATTCGTGTTATGTTGTATATTTTTTTTATTCTCTTCGAATAATATATTCATATATTTGACATATAACAAATATATAAAATTAAAGCAACTTGTCGCTTGCTATATGATGATTGACATATCACTTACAAGAATGTTATCTCTGTCGTCTGAAAGAATCGAAACAGATAGTGACAAATAACATTTGAAATGGATCCAGCTTCTTCTGCTTGGGGATCTAAAATTTTAGACCAACCAAACAACTAGAATGCATGTCAGCACACACAAGCACCCATATGTTCAAATATGTTTGACATAGAATAAAAGTGTATTTCTAGTTTTAAGAAACACTACAAACCCATGCTGTGAAACAATACATTATTTACTATTACCAATAGTTTCCTTTTTCAATGCTTGATTCAACACCAAATGATTCATTGGTTTTGATCACCAATATGTAATAAAATAACACCACTGCATTACTTCTGCATCAATTACAAAACTACAATTGCATTGTCAAAATTATAGTGACCTAGCATCAAACACTAAACAGACTACCAGAGGGATTGCAAAGATGGAGCTCAGAAAAGAGTAGCATCCAAGGATTGGTAGGATCGTGAATAAGACAATGGGAAAACAATTTAACCCTTAAAATAAAATAATTCAAGAATCATAACTACGGAAAACTAATTGAATGATAATGATGTGCTTACAAGAAGGTTACAAGTTACAGCTATTCTTAGAATCTTGAAAACATATAGAAATTAAATTCACATGACTCTAAAAGTAATCACCTGATAGTACTCAGTCTCCTTTCTTTTGACCTTTTGGAGGTCTTAGAACACTCCAATCCAGCTTTTCACGCTTTGGTTGCTTGTGAGAACTTCTACTATCATTTGGCGATGATTCTTGATCAACTTGAACATTTTTCTGCGATTTATTTGGATACTGTGTTTCAGAAACTACTTCAGCTTGCTTCCTTTTCAGTTCTCCGTTGGCATCGTCTTCTCTGTAATAATTAAAAGAGAGACTATGCAGAAGATGTGTTGGTAAAAGATGGAATGCCTCAAGAGAACTTGGGTTCATGTGTGTGTGAATTACATATGTATTCATTGATCTGTGTACAACGTATCCAATATCAACGAGCTCAAAGTATCAACCATAACTCTATTCTAAATTGCTTTGAATAGGTGATTAAATCATGAATTTTATGGGCTTTAACATTTATTGGCTCATACCAATTATTGGTGTACTCATGCATGCTACAAGCCCCGGAGAAAGATTTGTGGACTGGACTAGATTAACTTGAATCATTCTAAAATTATGATTCAGCTAGAAATTCTACCATGTGTTGTTTGTTGACATATTGGGGTAATTAAGGTTTCCAGAAGCCTTATCATCTACATACTGGGTAGACTAAAACGCTATGACCCCATATAATTTATGGATAGACTTCACAAATTAACTAGAGAGTCCAAATCAACTCAACACAGCTCAAAAAGATGAAGATATTATTTCAGTTAGCTAATTAAGTCCTGCTCTGCCTACTGCCACTCTATCTGCAGCCACAATCTCTGTCACTAATGCCTTGGCACAAAAGATGGGAGCCTTCTTGGGTTTGATTCAACAATCCCATTTCAAAAGAAGGTTGAAGCAATTACAGTTTGGAGCGAATTATTTTTCAAGCTTAAGCTTTTCGTTCCCTCACCAAATGAATAGATGATAGTAATAAACTATCAAGAATGAAATCTTACAAAGCCAACCAAGTAACTTTGCAACTACCAAGAGAAGAATTACCAGAATAATAATATGTCAATAGAACTTAAAGGAGCTAAGCACGCACCTATCAGACGTTCTTCCATTTTGATTGCCAGAACATGTGGTAGAGGCTTCTGGTTGACAAAGGTTTCTTGCTTCTTCATTCAATTTCTACCAAGACAAGGCTTTGAAATGAGGAGAACAAAAACCACAATAGCACAAAAAAACGAAATAGCCTTCGAAAAAACTTTCATACCACTCGATCCTTATACTCACATCAATAGAAGGGTTAAAACTTTGAAATGACATCCGACCTTTTATTGCCCCTGGATGGGGATCACCTTCCACAATCACTTTGCTGCATACCGAGATAGATATGGAAATTGGTTGGAATATGGCATCATTGATAATATTAATAATTTCAATGCCAGTTAAATTTAATGGTTTTTATTGACAAAATGGATTTAGATACACAACTCTCAACAAGCAGAGGACAAAAAATTAAGACATGCCAAAAGAAAATTAGTTGATGTTCATGGTATTGAAGTGATCTCAGTCTTGGCAGGGGCGGAGTTACTGAAGAATATGAAATGCAGCAATAAACAAGAAGCAATGCTAAAAAATATCCCAAAAAAACACAAAAAAGCAAAAATAGTAGAAAGGATATATCCAAGCAGTATAAGTAATTACATGGTCCAAAAGCCATTACAGGCACTATCAAGTTTGTTAATTAGTAGGAAACAAACAGTGACTAATAACAATCTATATCATGCAAGTTACTGCAACATGTTGTGTAGTACCAACAAGAAAAGAAAAAAAAACAGATAATAAGAAGGGAAGAAGAAGACACAGAAAGGAAAGAAACGAGCAAGAAGAATATTAGACAGAGGGGGGAAAGAATTGTTCGAGAGAAGAGAGAGGTATACTAAGTCCTGGTAATTCAATATTATGCCTGTAATGCCCCAAAATTTATAACATCATTCAATCCATCAACCAACGCTCATTATAAGAAAAGAAGTAGTTCTCCAAACTTTACATCATTCATCATTAAGGTTTGTACAAAATAATTCCACATACAGATTATACATTCAATGATACCAAATACATGAATCTATAGCATGTAGAACGTCAAATCCAAAAATAAATAAACACCCTCAAGGGCTTACAAATTCCAAGGCTTAAGCCCGGTTACACAAATAAATGGTCTCTTAGACCCAACCAGTTATAGCCCTTAGCTAACAAAAATGTACCACAACAAAAATATAAGAGCCCTATGCTCCCAACACATACGTCCACGCCCTAACTTGGCGGGATCACCACGTCTTTTCCTGCACCAAAATCCCATAGGGGTAAGCATAAAGCCCAATAGAATTTCTTAACAAAATATATATATTTTATACAAGCCTCATAAAATAGAATGCATATGCTATGCTATGCTTTTGACAAGAAAATCACATCTTCATCTTTTGAAAACTATTATGCTCAATGATATCTTTATATTTCAACAGTTCAAAATTTATAAATTTAACTCAAGGGGCGGTAAATACGACTCAGGTAATCCCTAAGTTGGTGTCTGCAAGTAGGCATAACTAGCACTACCAAAACTCCAATTTACCGGTTGCTAACCGGAAGGAAAGTGGTACCTCCTCCGCGCGTGTTTTCGATCTTTCATTCCGGACACTCAGGCCAACTTAATCAATTTCATCTACACCTCCTATCCGGACTTACTAACATATTTACCCCAAAACAATTCCATAAAAAATTTATTCACAACTTTTTTTTTCTCAATGCGAAAGTTTCCAAACTCAATTCAAAGTGTGTAATAACCAACTAGATAAATATGCAATGCAATAATTATCAATGCCATATAACATCTTATTTTCAAATATCTCAACAATAATTCCATGACAATCAAAATTCTCATTTCTCCTTTCAATACTATTTCACAAGATAACCATATATTCAATTAATTCTATCAATAGATAACAACATTTCCATACTTTGTACTTTTCTTAACAATTTAGTCACTTCAATATTATATTAACATCTTTGAATAACAATCTCTAAAATCACCACTTCTCATATTTCATGAAACTCATCTTTTACATATATAAAAGTAAGAAATTTTCCCATCTTTATTCATTTTAGCACACAAAGTAATAGATCAACAATATCAACCAAGTGTTCTCAACATTCTTTTAAAACCCCCAATTTCTAGGTTTTTTTCTCATCACACTACACACACACACAAATCTTTTGAAAAAATTTCTTCAAAAACATTTCTCCTTAGTCAATGTAAATTCAAAACCCTCAAGCAAATTATTTCAAGAGAAACAAGGAGCAAATCCCCTCCTAAACTATCCACATTGTTGAGCCAACCATCAATTTTCAACGTTCACAAGAGAAATTCGAAAATCAACAAAAATCTTGTAAAAATATATATATAACTCTAAGAAAGTCCCTACCTCAAGTTCTTGGAAGAAAAGAGATGAAGCCCCAAATCCAACAGTGTTGAAATTCGATCTTCACCGCACACAATGTAGCCCTCGAGTTCTTCGGCGCGTGCCTCCTGCACGTGCGGCCTACATCTCCGCAGGTGCGGCCCTCTCTCTCCCGCACCTGCTGCTTCACGTGCATTTATTTCAGTATGCACCCAGGTCACCCCCTGTTTTCCGCACGTGCGGCCCAAGCCCCTGCACGTGCGGCTCTGGTCCTCCAGCCCAAAAAATTCTCAGCTCAACTCCCGACACTCCGAGTCCGACCTCACACCCTTCAAAACAAGTGAAACTCAACACCGGAATAAACAAGAACAAGAATCTTGAGAAATAACTTCCGAACACAACAAACCCAAACGATTAGCAAGGCTCCAAGTTAAATCCGTCACTCTAACAAGGGCAAACCCAATGTAAACAAAGAGAGAAGAGACACACAACGTAACCGGTCATCACAACCTCCCCACGATAGGAAATTTCGTCCCCAAAATTAAATCAACTACTCGAACAAGGAGTTTCTAGCAATCACAATCGTTCCATTAAAATTTCAAATCACCAAATAGATTCTCAAACAACATTTGCTATTACCATCACGGTTCCCAAGTGTTTTAGTTACAATGTTAACAACGGTTCACGTGCACGAAACCTTCCAACAAGGTAATAGCAATTCATACCAATCCCAATTCTCAAAATAACAATACATATTACAACACATGATCAACACTTTGATACATTTCTCTCTAACACCAAGGAGTGGGCAAATTAAACAATTAAGCATTCTCAAATAAATCCGGATACTTGGAGAGGACTTCCGCCTCTCGTTCCCATGTTGCTTCCTCAATCTCATGGTGTCTCCACAATACCTTCACCAATGGTATGGTTTTGCCCCGTAGCACTTGCTCCCGGGTATCTAGTATTTGAACCGGTCGCTCTTCGTAAGAGGCATCTTCATCTACCTCCAAATCAACCCAATCAAGTACATGAGAAGGGTCGGACTCATACTTCCTAAGCATAGATACATGAAACACGTTGTGAACTCCCGAAAGCTGTGGCGGAAAAGCTAACCGATATGTCACCTCTCCAATTCTCTCCAATATCTCAAAAGGCCCAATAAACCTCGGAAACAATTTACACTCTTACCAAATCTCATCAAACTCCGTCTTGGTGAGATCTTAAGGAACACGTAGTCACCAACTTCGAAGGATAAAGGTCGTCTCCTCTTGTCGGCATAACTCTTTTGTCGGCTTTAGGTCATAGCTAACCTCTTCCAAATGAGAACAACTTTCTCGGTTATCTCTCTAACAATTTATGGACCCAACAACGGTGCATTACTCACCTCGGCCCAACAAACCGGTGATCTACAAGGTCAACCATACAAGGCCTCAAATGGTGCCATCTCAATGCTAGCTTGATAACTATTGTTATAGGCGAATTCAATCAATGGTAAATGCCTCTCCCAAGACCCCTTGAAATCAAGGACGCAAGCTCTAAGCATGCCCTCCAAAATCTGAATGGTACGCTCCGACTGCCCATCGATTTGAGAATGATAAGCAGTGCTAAAGGTCAACTTAGTTCCCAAAGCCTCTTGGAGGCTTTGCCACAACCGGGCGGTAAAACGAGGATTTCTATCCAATACAATGGTTACAGGAATCCCATAAAGTCGAACTATCTCTCTAATGTACAATTCTGCCAAGTGCTCAACTGAGTCGCCGGTGCGCATCGGAATGAAATGCGTAGACTTAGTCAACCTATCAACAATCACCCAAACGACATCATTTCCCCGCTGTGTTCTAGGAAGCCCAACTACAAAATCTATGGTAATGTGCTCCCACTTCCACTCGGCTATCGGTAAGGGTTGTAACAAACCCGCTAGTCTTTGGTGTTCGGCCTTTACTTGTTGACAAGTAAGGCACTTCGATACAAATAAAGCGACATTCCGCTTCATACCCCTCCACCAAAACTGACGACTAAGATCATGATACATTTTGGTGCCTCCCGGGTGCACCGCAAGGCGTGAGTGATGGAACTCTCAAAGTACTTCCTCTCTACAAGATTCTGGTACAAACAAGCAGTCTAAATAACATACACTTAAATCCGAGTGAATGTTCAAACCCCTCTCTTCCTTCCCGTTGGAAATTCTATCTCAAACTGACTCCACTTCACGGTCCCCTTGTTGCGCCTCTATGACTTTACTAATCAAGGTAGGTTCAGCACTCAAAGTAAACAAGGTTGCACTCTTACCGGACCCACCCAAGTGCAAATCGAACTTGCCGATGTCACCTAGCCTAACCCATTTCCGAATGGCCACACTTGCCAAACTACTTACGGACTACTGACTTAAGGCATCGGCCACTACATTGGTTTTCCCCGGATAATAGTGTAACTCCAAGTCATAATCCTCCATAAATTTCATCCACCTCCATCGGCGTAAATTCAAGTCTTTTTGAGAAAACAAATTCTTTATGCTCTTATGATTGGAAAAAACCTCAAACTTCTCGCCATACAAATAGTGCCTCTAAATTTTTAGGGCAAAAATCACCGCCGCTAATTCCAAGTCATCGGTGGGGTAGTTCTTCTCATGAGTTTTCAATTGTCATGAACCATAAGCCACAACCTTTCCCCCTTGCATCAAAACACAACCAAGTCCATCCCCAGACGCATCACAATAAACGGTGTAACCCAAACCTCTTTCCGGAATTATCAAGACCGGTGCGGTAGTCAATCTAGTCTTAAGTTCTTAGAATGACCTTTCACAAGCCTCACTCCACATAAATTTGACCCTCTTTCTAGTCAACCTAGTCAAAGGCACAGTTAGTCTAGACAAGTCCCTTACAAAACATTGATAATACCCCGCTAATTCCAATAA